GCGGGTCTGGCGGGCGGCAGACGGCAGGCGGCGGACGCAGCAGCAGCAGCCGCAGGAGCAGCAGCAGGCGCCGCGCCGAGGACCAGCCGCTGACCACCCCGCCCCTGGTAGCGGGCCCCGCCGCGCGTCACTGTCCAGAACCTTTAGACCCAGACACGGGACAGCAGCTATATGAAGCTAAGATCGGCGGCATCCAGTGGGACCCCCCGGGGAGACACCTGGCGAGACGATAAAGCGGCTTCAGGTCACCCTGGGAGCGAGGTTCACAGGCGCCTGGCACGCGTTCGCCCAGCAGCACGCCATGCCCCGCAGCAAAGGCGCGCTCGACCCGCGGCGGCACGACCAGCAAACGTGCGTAAATTTCCTGTCCTCCTCCCGCAGCCATAACTGCGACGCGCGGGCCATGGGCGACGCGCTGGACCTCGGCGTTGACTGGACGCAGTTGCGGCTTCGGTACTTGGGTGGAAGTGGCGGCGCGGGCAGGGGGCGCCAGGCGGCGAAGGGCCACGCTGATCGCCGCGCACCCAGGAAGGACCAGAAACAGTGGAAGGTCGTCACCTGAAGCCGCGGGCGCGCCCGCCCTTGTTTCACCCTAATTCACTCTGGCTTCTCCTGGTGTGGCCGTGACCCGGCCTTCCAGCGGGCAGCCTTATGCAGCTTAGGTTCTGCACAGTCGCGACAGGGTCGGGTGTGGTCTATCCTACTTGGCTCCTGGCGTTGTCAACGGGCCCACAGGTGTCACAGGTGGCACACTTCGGATGACTGTTGGTCGTGCGTCGCATCCGCTGGCGCCGCCTTCATTGCCCCGGTGTCACTCGCCATCGGCTGCGCACGAGCACCCTGGGCACATCTCTGGCACTGGGCGTGGTCCATCCTGCTCGGTTGCATTGCTATGTATTCGCAGGTCTTGCTATGCTATGCATGGACCACGGTGCACATGATTGCTCATGGGACGCAGGCTTACCTACCTTTGAGCGGTCATTACTTGATCTGTCGATGTGCGACGCTTCGGCTGGCGCCTCTCCAGATTCGCGCCATTTTGGCTGCGCGTGTCAGGTTTAGCTAATTTGGTGTTTCCTGGGTGTCCCTGGGTCACCTTGCAGCTCTGCCCTGGGTTCAGCTCTCCTTGGGATCAGCCTCACCCTCGCCACAGTTGCTGCTTGCTGCATCCGGCGCCGCCGCGGCCGCCTAGTCGCGCGCGTTAGCCGTCGGTAATTTGTATTGCCATCAGCTCTTCGGCCAATTAGTGTCGGCCGCAGCCCGACCGATACTCGTCGCCGCTGGCGCTTCCGCCCGCGGAAAAAAGTCCCCACCAGCTTACTTGCGTCACTTATTGGCACCTCAGTGGGCACGCCCTGCGTTACCTGGTACCGCAGTTTTAATCGACGTGACTCTGATGCTGATTTGTGATGTCTCCCGCGCCATCTTGACCGCGTTGAGCCCAGTTCCGCTCTGAGCCGGGCGCCGCTCGCTTCGCTGTTTCCCATTTGCTTTGGCGCGGCCCGCCTTAGCTTGCACGGCGCTCGACTCGTCTTCGCTCGCCCGCGAACCAAAAAGTATCCCCACCAGCCCATCCCAAACAGCACATTTTGCGACGCACGCCGACGGCCGTGATTTTCGCGCGTGTCTTGCTCCTGCTCTCGCATGTCTCCTCCTCTTCCGCCCACCTCCTACTTTGATTTCTGCCTCCGACGACGACGACGACGAAGTTCACCATTAAGGCGTTTCTGGGTTTGTCGCTCCTGGGGGCTATGTTGCAGGTCTCTGGGCCCTTTTGGGATCCTCGTGGTGCCTCTTGGGGTACCCTTGAGGCTCTTGTGGGTTTTTTTCAGGCCCTCTTGGGACTCTTTGGGTGGGTCTGGGAGGTCCCAAGAACCATTTTGGAGGCCACTGCTCAAAAAGGAGCGCGGCGTCAATTACGCCCCCCCCCCCCCTTCGGAACCCAACAAGTCGCCTCTTTGGGCCGCTCTTGCGGCGCTCTTGGGCGCTCTTGGGCCTCTCTGGGGCCTGTCATGGGGCTCTCTTGGGCCACCTTGGGGCCAATTTGAAGCCTCAGGAGCCCATGGAAAGCGAAAAGGCGAGAAGGCCAAAAACATTAATTTGCCTTAGTTTGTTTTAAGAATTTCGGCCTCACTCCGTGACCACTTGGGGCCGTCTTGGGGCGGTCTTGGAGCCTCGTGTAGGTTTTTTGTGAGCTATCTTGAACCATCATGGGCCACCTTGAGCGATCTTGGAGGTCATCTTGAGCTCTCTTGGATTGTCTTGGCGGCATACTAGGCCAAAACAGACGCTTCGACCACCCGCCCCCCCCCCCTCCAGGCCCAGGGGGAAGGGAGGAGGGGGAGGGGTAAACCCCTCCCCGAAGGGGAAGAAGGGGGTGGAACCGAACGGGCTCTCTGAACCACCTCCGCCCAGAGGGCTGGTGGTATTAGCTTTCCGCCCCAGACCCACTTCTCCGGCCCCGGGGCCCGATGACGGGCCCCAGAGTCCCAGGGGCACGAAAAAGCACCGGTTGAAAAATTGCCATCGGAGATCTGGGTGGGCATTCTTTTTCAATTATTCTTGAATATTTTCGTCGATGGCCACACGAGAGACGAGTAAAACAACAACGCGATGACCACAGGGCAACATAGTGGAGCGCGGCGCGCCCTCGCAGCCTGGCGCTCCCAGGGAAGCCTGCGGATGTGTCGTTGAATCCCGCGCTGACAGTAACGTCCCGGGGCGGTCGCGGAACGCGTGCGCGGTATCCCCCCGCATGATCCCTTGGGCATCCCTGCCGGGGCCCCCAGCGGGGCCCTCCCAGAGGCCCAGAGGCACCCGCCTCGGGCGCTGGGGCGGGAGCCCACGTCTTGCGCCCCTCTGCTCCGGCGAGCCACGGGTCTCTCTTGGGAGCCCCCCACTCGGAGCCTCCGCTCCAGGGTTGAGTCGGGCCTGGAGGAATATCCAAAAGTAGTGATTATCCCAGTGCGACCCTACCTAGGAGTTGGAGCCCCTAGGAAAGCAGCATTAGTAGTAACAGTAAAGCTAAGCTAAAGTTAAGCTACAGCTAAGCTACAGCTAAGCCAAAGCTAAGCTAAAGCTGAGCTAAAGCTGAGCTACAGCTGAGCTAGAGCTAAGCTAAATCTAAGCGCTAAAACTAAAGCTAAAACTAAGCTTAAGCTAAGCTAAAGCTAAGCTAACGCTAAGCTGAAGCTAAGCTAAAGCTAAGCCAACGCTAAACTAAAGCTAAGCTAAAGCTCAGCTAAAGCTAAGCTAAAGCTAAGCTAAAGCTAAGCTAAAGCTAAGCTAAAGCTAGGCTAAAGCTAAAGCTAAAGCTAAAGCTCCGAGGGGACTTGGGGAACCGCCGGGGCGCTGTGCACTGCCCGGCCCCTTTAAGCTAAGAGAGTAAGAACCCTTCTAGGCAGAGCCTAGGTAGGGAACATGTTCTGGGATTGATTTTTCATTGGGGTATCTTTTATTTGTCATCCAAAGTCCGCCTGTAGGGGGATATGCCCGACCTAACTCCAGGGCGCCGCCGCCCCCCCCCCCCCTCTCCGACCGAGGCGCTGGTCGGGTCGGACGAGAGACAAGGGGCGGCCAAGAGTCGGGAGCGAAAGGAGGGCATGCACGCACATGAATCCTTGCTCGGTTCGGAAGTACGCACCGCGCGGGCGTTCGTGACACGAGGCTGGTCTCGCGGACTGGGGGGCCGCATTCTTCTGCGTGGTCTTGGGCGCGCACGTCCTTCTGTGGGCTCCCTACAGAGGGGGGCGGTGACGGGGGGGGGGAGATCGTGGCAGGGGCCACTGACTGTGCCTCCCTGGATGTCATTGTCCCCCCCCTCTTCTTCCTTCAACGCGCACCTGGCCCCCCACTCGTTTGCGCACGTGCCGCGGGCCATGATTTGCGAACATCCTCTTGGACGTCCCTCGTGCATGCCCCCGACGAAAGTCCCAGATCCCCCGTGCGTCGTGAAAAAAATTCGAGATATGAAAAGTCCAAGGTTTCGGGGGATCTGGGGAACAACGTCAGGGGCAACGTCAGGAGGGTGGGCTAAGGGGGTGTTGCATCGGCCCCCAATCCCCCATTGATCGCCGATAGGGACTCGATAGCCCACACCGACCAGGACCGTGCGGTTGTGCTATCGGGGGCATATCGCGATCTGTCGGCGATGTATCGCTGATTGCCCACCATTGCCAAGTCGGACGAAAGGGGGATATGTAAAGGGGAGATTACTAGGTCTGCCGCATGCAGCCAGTGCCAGGAGGCTCCAGGAAAATCAGCTACGTGAGCTGATTCGCTGACCATCTCGTATTGCCGCCCCCTTAGATCCACAGCCTCGCGGGCGGGGACCCTGGGTCGCAACCTCATGGATACGGGTCGCTTCATCGCGGAATGCCCCGCGCAGGACGTGCCCATGCGAACGCGTATCCACGGGATCGCGCCCCGGAATCCAGACCGCGAGGGCGTGGATGCTCGTCGTTCGTGAGTCCGCCCCCCGGTGCTTGGAGTGATGGGCGCGGGGAGGCCTCGTCAAGAGAAGGCCTAGGATAGGCCCAGGATAAGGATGAATCGCTCAAGAGCGTTCTGGGGCTCTCTGGAGCCAGACAGGGCGCCCGACAGCTCCAGACCTGCCGGCTCTCTGAGACTCCCGACTTATCCTCATCCGAGTTTGTCCTCATCTTACCTCTGGGTTGCCTCGGAGCTCCTCCTCGGGCCACGTCGCCCAGTGTTCTGTTTCTCGGCGCTCCCCGTGGAGTCCCCGCTGCAGCGGCCTGCCACGATCCCAGGCCTGCAACGTCTTGGCAGGTTCAGGGACGGAGGTTTCCCATCATGGTCTGCTTTTTGGGGAGGTGGGGGGGGCGTGTTTGTCGGGCCTGGCTGGACAGCCAAGAAGCCATCCCCGATGGAACAAGAACGGGGCCCCGGTGAAGGTGGTCGAGAGCTCCGGGGGGGGGGGGGGGCGCGCGCGCATCGAACAGAGCCACGACGTCGGAGGCCTGCCATTATCCCCACGGCAGGACGGCGACTTATAAGAGCGCGATGCGGGTCAGTCAGGAGTTCGCGAACTCCACGCAGGTGCTCGGCCTCGTTCGCTCCTGCATGGTCGGTGGTTGCCATCCGCTGGCAGAGCACATCGTCGTCGTTTGCCTGCTACGCCGCTCGCTTTTGGGGGGGGTCTGCCTGCGGCTCCCGCATCGACGGCTGGTTCAATCTGGCTCTGTCAGGAAGGCGCTTAGGACCTCGTAAAGTGCCGCCGTTCTGGCCGCCCGCTCCCCTTCGTCTTCCATTTCCTCCTCCTCCTCCTCCTCCTCCTCCTCCTCCTCTGCCATTTCCCCGCTCCTGCCCAGTCGGCCTCGATGCCCCTTCGTTCGAAAGTTTCTGTCCCTGGGATGTGTTCTAGCGGCTGCGCCTCGCCGAAGGTCGCCCCGAGGGTGCCTGAATCGCCCCGAACGGCCGCGAGAGGCTTGAGTTACGGCCCGAAAGTCACCGGGGGGCAATGTGAGGGGCGGACAGGTTCAGGGGGAATGCGGGGATGCATCAAGCCCCATTCGCCCATCGATCGCCGATAGAGGGGCCCGATCGTGCACTCCGCCCAGGACTGCGGTTTTGCAATCGGGGGTTATCGCTGACCGATCGACGATGTATCGCCGATTCCAGGTCGGTGTTCCCCCCCCCTGAGCCAATCCTCCCCTAACGTTCCCTCTCATTCGTCTTCTTGCGCCTCCGCTTCTTTAGCTTATTCCTCATACTCCTCCTCTATATGTCCCTCTTGCTCTTCCTTTTTTATGCTTCCCATAAACGAGCATCAAGGCTGTTGCGTTCTTCTGATGTCTAAGCAAGAAAAGGCTCCGATTGAGCGAAGCGCGTCACAAGTTAAGCTGACGACACGTGCAGAACAGGGAGTGTGCAACAAGTATAGAATAGTAGAACAGCCCTGGCGGGCACGGAGCAACGTAGTTGTTATTCATAATATGTCTCGTCCTCCTCCGTTGTTCTTTGGCTTCCTCATCATCAAGTTCCTCTTTCTTTGGGGCCAGCTCGGCTCCGTTCTGGGCTCTTCTTGGGTGACCCTTTTGGGGCCTCTTGGGGGGCCTTTTGTTTTTTCTGCGCGCCGCGAATTTCGCTCTCGATGCTGCCAGAGACTGGTTTAAGCGAGGCCTTACACTAGGCGTCTGTATTGTACGTTTTCCTCGCGGTGCCTGTGTCTACGCGACGGACGGCGTGTGGCTCCTCTGTTTGTGAGTCGCCTGGGGGCGCTTGTTGGGCCGCCTTAGCTCCGTCTTGGCCGTTTTATTCTACAATCAGAGCTTGCCTCTGTAGGGGTCCTGGCGGATTCATATGGTTAGGTGAGGTTCGTCGCCGATTTCGGTGGCCAGCCCGGGTGCCTGGGTGCCCAGGAGTGCCTTGGTGCTTGGGTGCTTGGGTGCCCGGGTGCCTGGGGGTGCCCTATGGCCCTAATAGCCCTAATAGCCCTATGGCCCCATAGCCCTATAGCCCTGTAGCACTATGGCCCTATATCCTTATAGCCTCATAGCCCTATAGCCCTATAGCCCCAGAGCCTTATAGCCCCAGAGCCTTATAGCCCTGTAGCCCCATAGCCCTATAACCCTAAAAGAATCATGATTGGGCTTTTTCTCCGGTATCATGTCTTTGTGGACCCTGTTGTCGGCAGCGAGCGGCGGACGTACACGTACATAATCCATGTCGGTTTCGAAGGTACGCATTGCGCGAACGTTCGTATTATGAGGGAGGTGGTTGCCCTCGCGGACTGGGGGGCCGTATTCGTGTACGTGGTTGGGCGCGTGCGTCTTCTGTGGGCTCGTTGTTTTGGGGACCTCTCGTGATGTTTCGGGAGTCTCGTGCCGTCTCGAGGCTGCCTTTGGGGCCTTTTCGGCCATTTCGGGGCCGTCTTGGGCTTCCTTGAAGGCTTCTGCGGCCATCATTGGACCATATAGGAGGGATATTGGGCCGTCTCGGACTTCTGGAAGCCTGAGAAGGCCAGAACACGGAATTCTGTCAACGAGCATCAGGAGCATGTATGATTTTAATTTTTGGAAGCCCTCCTGGGGCGTCTTGAGGGTGTCTTCGACCGTCTTGAGGCCAACTTGGGCCTTCCTTGGGCGCCTATTGAGCCGCTTGGGGCTCTTGAGGCGTTTTTCGGAGCCTCCTGGTGCCATATTCGTGGCCTTTTGGACCCTCCTGGCCGTACGGTGGCGTCCCTATGTGAATCCTAGGGGGAGTTTTAGAGCGGTCAATGTGCCTTCACGTTGCCGCGGCGGACCTCCTTAGCAGACAGTAGAACGAAATGGAGACGGGATCAGACAGGCAAGGGAAGACAAACAAAAGGTCACACAAAAGAACACAGCAAAGCAGTCCGGCAGACAACTTCGCAACCTGGCGCCCCCGCATGGTGGCCGGCGGAGTATAGAGGCCTTCGGCCCATCCTGCCACCGTGCTTGCGTCGTAGAGGAGGGGCCTCTTGCGGGGCTCTTGGGGCCCCCTGGAGGCCCCTGGGCGGCCTGTCAGAGGCCTCTTGGGGGCGGAGGGCCCCAGAGGCCCCTTCGGGTTCCCCCTCCTGGGCCGTCTTGGGATGATATTTTGGAGGCCTCTCACGCTGGGGGGGCAGGAGTTGTTTCCGCCAACTGAACTACCCTCGTCTTAGATCCACGTGTTTTCCACCAGCTTCCCTCGAGGGGGAACACACAACTCCTTGAAGGCGTGGCCGCTTTTGGAGCACTCAGATACGTGATCGAGCTTGCTTTTTTCCCAAATGTTGGATCAATGATTTCAACCCTCACACACGCAGTGGCGCTGGCCTTCCAAGTGCACGGTGTGCTGCCCTCACGCCCTCGGGTGATGCCTGCTGCATGTCGGCACGGGCACTGATGCTCCCAACGCTACACGAGGGGCACAACTGTCGCAGATATGTAAAGTTATATTGTTGGGCGTAACGCGTTTCGTACATTCTAGTGTCATCGTCCTCCAACCGTCTACATTGGTTGGCATATCCTTTTTCGAGGATGGTTAATGAACAAGTTGATGATGGAAAACACATTGGTTCCAGACCCTCATGTGGTACTGGGACCTGATTTTGAATCTGTCTGCAGCGCCGCGAGTCTCCTTCCTTCTTCCCTTCTCATCCTCATCCTGGTCTCTCTGCCCCTCCTCTCCGCATGTTCATTTCGGCACACCCCTTACACGTTTCGTGTCCTCGTGGGAGCTTCAACCTACGGCCTCGGGGGCCGGGTTCGCATGCCGCGGCGCCCTTATTTCGGCACACCCTTCACGCGGATCGTACCCCGTAGGGGGGTGCATCTAACAGCCTCAGTGGGCCAGTTCGCATGCCGGGGCGCGCTCGTTTCGGCACGCCCGCCACGCAGATCGTGCCCTTCCGGGAGCTCCATCTGGAGATGTCATCAGTGGGCCAGTTCACACGTCACGGTGCGCAGAGTTGGGCACACCTCTCACACGGGTAGCGCCCCTTATTCATGGAGTCCCTTTTTACCGTTTCCGTGGGCAGGTTCGTATGCCTCTGCGCCCAGTTTGGCGCATCTCTTACGCGGGTCGTGCTCCATTGGGAGCTTCACCTGACCCCTCACACGGATCGTGCCACATTGGGACCTCCACTACGGCACCAGATGGAAGATTTGCGTGCTGCGCCTCGTCCATTTTGGCAATTTTTTCGCACGGATCGTGCCCCATGGGAAGCCTTTTGCAACAATTGGGGACAGGGGGACAGGATCGCCGTGACTGGGGACAGGGTCGCCGTGACTGGGGATAGAGTCGCCGTGACTGGGAACAGGTTCGCCGTGACTGGGGACAGGGTCGCCGTGACTGGGGACAGGGTCGCCGCGACTGGAGTCAGGGTCGCCGCGACTGGGGACAGGGTTGCCGTGACTGGGGACAGGGTCGCCGTGTATGGACACTATTATCATCATTATTGTCAGTATTGTTATAGTTATTACGTTTTTTGTTTGAGTTTGGACGTTGACATGTTTTACACACCTTTTTTCAATTCCGGGGCCGCTCGTGGCCACGGCTGAACTCAGCGCGTCGAGCTGGTCATTTTGCCACCCACTAGTCATGTTGCCACCCAGCGTGCCCGCGTGCCGTGCAGTGCCGTGCGCGCTTGTGTAGGACCGTAGCCATTTCGGCTCAAGCATGATGAATTCGTTATGCTATTACGGTTGTTCGTTTGGATCCCGCTCACCGTTGCTCATTGCACCGCGAACCTACCGCTAGCATGCCGCGCGATGCGAGTAAGAGTCGCTCGCCGTCAAGGGCAGGGGCCGCACCGCATGTGAGGTGCGCACTCCTACCGCGTTGTATATATCCCAAACAGGATTTGGCCACACCCGCGAAAGTGACCGAGACAGCAGGAGCTCGTTTGCGGAAGCGTGCCCACAGGGAGCGCGAGCGAGCTGAGCAGCATCGCAAGACAGGTGGTCAGGAGTTGCAAATCGGCTTCCCTGGGAATGACGGAGCGAGAGCAGCAGCGGCAAGTAAGCCCCTAGCCACGAGCAGACTTGGCAGTCGCGTGGCTGAGAGCCGCTGCCCCGCCTGCGGCGCCTCCAACGGGCGATCGAGCAGTTGCGGTGCCATTTTTGCCGATGCCACTGACACGCGAGCACTCACAAGCTATGTAAATAGTGCCCGGCGGTCGTCGACGCCTGTTTACGAAGAGGATTCCCCAGAAGACCAGCGGCGTCTGGCGTCGACCATGTTTGCGGCATTCGCGAGCGAGGACAAGCCGCAGCCAGGTTCTGACTCATGGGAAGCCCTCGTGCGGTTCGTGGTGGTTGCATCATTCGCAGGTCGGAAAAGGATCGCTGGAGCCCACTGCCGCCCACCCAGTCTTCCTGGAGGCGCCGGCTGAGCATGTCCGCGAGGAGAAGCCGCTTTGGCGTGGAGGACAAGCCCATGGGGGACTGGCCACTTCGGAGCGCTCTGGCGCACACGGCGAGTTCTTCGCACATTTGAGCACTCTTGCTGCAAATTTGCAGAAGTGGAAAAAACTGCGACGACGGTCAGCGGGCGCAGTGATGCCCCGCGCGTTGCCCATCAAGCGCGATTCC